TCAACAATATAACCAATTATGCAATAATCAAGATATGAAAGTAATCAATTTAGCATAATTGTAAAAGAGATAAGGGAAGAGAAATTGCAAACAATAACACGGCGATTTTTGCGAGGTTCGGAAACTCCTACTCCTCGGCTCAAGATCCCTCTTGAGACTTCCCAAATTCCTTAGAGCTTTTCCTTAATGGTGGAGAGTAAACCTTCAATTGAACCTTTTACAATAACTTGTAATAGAAATGAAGTGTACAATGAATCTCTCAAAGATAGTAATACAATTTTTTAGCTCACAACTAAAGTATTGATGAATATAAATGAAGCTCAAACTCTATGAATGAAATGAATGAGAGAAGATGAAATATGTGAAAAAAATAAGCTCCTATGAATTCAATAGAATCTCTCAAGTGTATAATAGAGTAAAAACTCTATGAAGATTAAAACAAGAGCAAAAACCCTTTTAATCTTTACTAGAATCTCTCAAGATAGAATAAGAGTGAATGAGAGAGATGAAGAGAAAATGAGAACAAAAGCTCTCTTTGCAATGTAAAATAATGTCTCTCAAATGGTATATATTTAGTTAGCAGATAACCCCTCTGTATATATATAAATTCGCAGTTCAATATAGCTATTAGAAGTGGTTGGAAGAATTAAATGCAGAAAAATTGCCGTTGTAATTCAAATCCCTCAAAGGAGTCGGCTCTTTACAAAAGTGGAAGCGGCTCCAATATGAATGGAGCAGGCTCTTTTTCTGAAATGGAGGCGGCTCTATTAAAAAATGGAGCAGGCGCTTTTCTGAAAGATTGTTCTACGAGCCAAGAAATGCTACTGGAGTGAAAGGAGCAAGCTCCTTTTTTTGAGTGGAGGCGGCTCCATATGCCTTGAGAGAGCTGGCTCTATTTCTTATAGAAGGTTGCTCCTAATTTTGGATTGGACAGAAAAGAGCATGACCTTAAATGGACATAACTCAGTCCATGAAACTCCAAATGAGGTGAAATTTGAGTCTAAATTTATTGTCTTGAAGTCAGCTTTTTAATACCACCAGCCTTGCTCAAAAATTATAACCATAGAAATAGTTATGACCGTTTTAGTGCAACCTGGTCAGAAATTTCACTATCCAGGGACATGCATCTTGTGATGCTCATATCTCATTCAATTCAAATCATTTTTAGGTGAAATTTGAGTCTAAAATCAAGGGCTCAAAGTCAGCTTTCCAATACCACTGGCCTTATGTAAAAATTCCAACTACACAAATAGTTATAGCATTTTTAGTACAGGCTGGTCTGAAATTTTTCTGGGCTGAAAATTGCTTCTTATAAGATATCCATCTTTCTAGCACCTAGGACTTTGATGAATGGTGCAATTTAGTTCAAGGCCTATTTCTAAGAGTCTAGGGACATATGAAGATGATAAATTTCAAGTGTATTGTGTCCTAGAGTCATTTACCAAATTATGGCAACAAATGCTTTAAAGATGAAAAATTAATTTCAATGCCTTTTCCTTTACTTTCTAGAGACCAAAAAAAAAATTATTATGATTAATGTGCATGGTCCTAGAATTTCTAGCTTAAATAATGAGTTCTTTCAAAGCTTATAAAGCTTGAACTAACTTTTTCTTAGTAAAGACTTCATATGTCAATATATATAAATGAAGTTCCTAGTCTATTGCTTATGGTCATAAGAACATATGAATGATATATGATATGTATGATCCTATAATTTTGAGCTTCAAAATATATTTAAATATACTTTGACATTAAATCTTAAGCTCTCACCATCCTATCTACCATTTTCTTCATTCTTTGACCATGATCGTTTAGGCTTGATGGAGACTTGTTTTGTTTCTTTGAAATGCTTTGTGTGATCTTTGAAGTCCGAGTTTTTTTTTGATTTCTTACACTTTGAGGCTTCCTTGAATCCATAGCTTGAGTATTTGGAATGGATCTTCTAGCTCAACATTGAGGATTGAATATTGATCAACTATATATCACTCAATGAAAATATTAGTACTTAAACATCACTAATGGTTTGTAATCATCAAAACATAAGATTGACCTTTAGATAAAAATCCTTAGGCCAACAATAACAAAATATAATTTATTTGAAATATATGTATCGGATCAAAAAATCATTTTAGATGTCTACATTTTTAAGAAGTAAGAAGTTGGGACATTTATAAAGTAAATAACAAAAAAAAGAAAAAAAAAAAAAGCGAACAAAATTTTCTTTTTATTTTTTTTTTTGCATAAATTGTTCATGAGGGTAGATTGGTCCAATTTATTAAATTATAAATTTTAAAAAGTCTTATAAATGATCAAAGGGTAATTTAGTCAATTTTTCATGTAAAGGGGTGTCTTTGTCAATTTTTGAAACTTCAGGAATTGTCTTTATTCAAAAAACAGGTAAATTTTCTTTGAGTGTCCTTTTGCCAAACCTCAGAGGGTGTGACTGTACTTTACCCTAATATTTTTATAGGTGTGCAGTAATTATGCAGGTGGATTGAATCAATGAATCTCAAAAGCAAAAAGTGGGTCCTCTATACGTTAACAATGCTTAGGACAATCTTGAATGAGCTGCATTAATCTGCCTTGAATTATTTGGACAAATTACTTTGGACTTTACTAATTTCATTTCATCAACTTGTGTCAGTGGAAATAAATGGATCTGCACCACCTTGTGTGGGTGGAAATAGATGCGTTTGGAATTACTGAGTACTCGCGACTGTCGGCAACACACCCATATTGACGAAGGCTCATTTTTTGGAGTTCGGATGCTGTGGTAGTCCTCTGTCACGTATTGTGATGTCTTTTTATATATCTAAATCATGTTTCAACATATTTATTTTATATTTTAATACAATTTCAATATATAGAGTAAATGTGTTATGTAAAATAGGATTTAAGTGTGTTGAAATGATAAATAATGATGTTAAAAAAGATTTTAAGAAAGTGTATTTCAATACTATTTCAATACATCTGTTGAAATTTAGAATAAAATTGTTGAAATGTAAAACAGATGTGTTAAAAATAAATTGAAGCGTGTTAAAAAAATTTCCGCACCATACAAAAAGGATTGGTTATAATAGAGGATCTAGATATTGGTTAGTAGCTAGATATCATTTTTTGACACATCTGTTTATAGTTAATTAAAAGAGGAGAAAATTTAGAAGCTTAAAGCAAGTGTATGAACCTGTCATATAGTTAAATGATTGATGAAGAATGAAATTGAGGCGAAAAATCAAATACCACATAATTAAGTCTAGCCTTTTAGTGTATTATCATCTTTTGGGCCCTACACTGTCATGCAACGTTACAATCATCAAATGGCCGTATATGTAAATACATGTCTTTTTGTTGCATCAAATTACGAAATTAGCCAGTTGGTTAGATATATAAAGTTGGAGCTGATAAGTTGGTAAAAGATTAAAGTTCCAAAATATGTAGCTTAATTAACATTGCTAAGGACAATCAGTGTTTTGAATTATTTGGACAAACTCAGTGTTTTGAATTGTTAAATTTCAATATTTTTTTATTCGTAAATATTTTATAACAACCAAATACCTTCCAAACAAAACATAACACCTTACTGATCACCAAACATGCACAACATTATCAAGGCGAAAGATCAAGTTCTGAAATCAGACCTCCAATCAAATGGCCATACTTATCTTTTTTTGCAACAATTTACGAAATATGTAGCTTAATTAACATTGCTAAGGACAATCAGTGTTTTGAATTATGTGGACAATTGCTTTAGACTGGACTAATATCATCAACTTGTGCCAGTGAAAATAGATGGATTGGACCAATTTGCGTAGGTGGAAATAAATAGATGGGGACCAATTTGTGTAGGTGGAAATAAATGGGTTTGGAATTATGAGAGCATACCCATTGACCTACCATCCCTTTCTCATGCTATCTTTCATCTCAAGTTACAATAACACCCTTTCACAATACCAAATTATCAATCAACATGCACATGATGAACGAGGTACGTGATCCTTCTGTTGACACCCATTTTGGTATTTGGATTGCCAACCCATCTTCGGCCCAGTCATGAAAACCAAATGCCCTTGGTGTCCATTTTGGTAATTGGGTTCTGGCCCTAATTGGAGTTGATGAGCAGTGAAGTATTGGGCCGAGAGAATATAATGGGCTGAAACATGTGGCAATGAGGTTGGGCTAGGAGGTATGTTGGTAAGCAAATGATTTGGTTTTCGGCTGGGATGGTGCAATGCAGTTAAGATGTTGGGCTTTACACATCACATGGATGGTGGTTGGTTGAATGACGTGGCAAAATTACAGAAGATGGCAAAGTTACATACAAAGGCACTGCAGATAGGATAGGAAACATTTGAATTGCAAAAAATATTAGATAAGAGTTATATATTTATCTTGTATTTAAATGAGGTTAGGAGTTAGTATTTAGTTAGGATTAGTTAGATTTGAATAATTATTAGATGTATTAGAAAGTAAATAGGATGCTTGTACTTAGGAATTAGTTTATATCTTATCTATAAATAAAGAAGGAGGCATACTGTGAAAGAGGTCCAGCACCCTCAGAATCCTTATTATTATTTGTTTGCTTCTTCAAGCCTTCTAAGAATAACATTCTTACTATTTCTTCTTTATCTCTATCTATCTATCTCAATCTCAATCTCTCTCTCATCCTTTCTCTTCATTCTTTCCTTTTCTTTTCTTGCTATATCCATTATCTCTCCTTTCTATTCTTTTGTTACATTACTATAATTTGTTTATAGAAAGTCCTTTTAACTAAGGCATTTTTGAACCCAAAAGAGGAATTTATTTGTTCCCTTTTTCTTCGCATCGTCTGAAAGTCAACTTTCTCAAAGGGACTAACGTTGACTATTTACATCGAACCACACAAGTGGTTCTGGCATGCCTGGCTTACATCAATTTGAGATCGGCTCCATTCAGCCGATTTTAGGGTCAACATTTTTGGCACGCCCGGTGGGACCCCATTAGGTGAGCAAGTTATAGTAAAGATGTCTTCAAAGCTAAGAGGTTTGAAAGGCGTGAATACAAGAGATAATACTGACGAAGAAAATCCACAGATCGGCGTAGGTGATGATGCCGACTCATCTATTCCATCCGACGTCCCTTTGAGTCGGGTATTGGAATCAATTATGCAAAAAATTGATGCCCAGCAAGCACAGATCGGCGAGGTAAGGTCTCAAATGGGATAATCAAATTAGCTTTTGGTTTCTCAAATTCATGAGATGAGATCGATGATAGGGGAGTTAAACTAAATGATGTACACTCAGTTGGAAAAGATGAGTCAGAAACTTGAAACCAATGTACTGGCGAATCAAAGCCGACAAGATCAGGCTGAAGCGTCTCACGTCAATGAGTCCATATTTCAGCGTTTGATGGCACCATTGGTTCATATATCCCAAGGACCTCGAACAAGCACCATACTGCCAAATGCAGGACTTGGTGTTATGATCAGCAACATGTCGAATCATACACTTGGCATGCCAATGGGAAATCCGCTAATTTTATCAAATCCGTTGGTGGTGAATCCTGTGCTGGTGTTCCAGCCATTAATGAATGATCAGCTTACGCAGCATTCCAATGAGTAGCTGATTCCACCAGTAAGAAATCAGTAAGAAGGTGTCTGCCATCTAAACCAAGGTAGGGTCAATCCATTGATACCTATAACGGCTGCTCGGGGGCAAGTGAATACCGATCCACAAAGGGAGTGAGTTAATCAATTCATTCTGCGGCACCCAAATGATCCTCTAGAAAGAAATGCAGGGATTGATAGGGCTCAGATTTTGGCTTTAATACAGGCCGAGGTAGTACAAGGTCGCAGACGTGCTCAGCCGGTATACAGAAAGCCCTATCCTGATCACGTTGATGCCCATGAGTTGCCTAGAAATTATCGGTATCCTGATTTTTCTATGTACAGTGGTGAAGAAAACTTCTCTACAGTACAGCATATTGCAAGGTTCACTGCACAATGTGGAGAAGCTGGTCCTAGCCCTTGGTTAAGGATGAGGTTATTCTCTAGCTCTCTTGCTAGGGCAGCTTTTGAATGGTACAGCAACTTACCGGCTAATTCTATTCAGACTTGGGATAAGATAGAGGAAGCATTCCATACCCATTTCTACCGAACAGAGACAAAAGCTACACTGGCAGACATATCTTGATTATCTCAGTTGCCAAGTGAATCGGTTGAGACTTTTGTTGCCAAGTTCAGAAAGGTTAAACTTAAATGCCGAGTAAGTTTGCCAGAACCATAATACATCAAGTTGGCATTAAATGGTTTAGATATTGAACATCGCAAGAGGTTTAATGGGGTCGAGTTTCAAAATCTCTTTGATTTGGTAGACAGGGCTTCTCGGTATGAGAAAATACTAAGAGAAGAGAAAGAGAGGAAAAATTCTTTTAAGGGTACTTGGTACAAGGACCCTAATAATGAGGTATTCTCAACAGAAGTTGGAGATGAATTAGAAGTTGACGTCGCAGAGGTTAATATCAAAAAGCCATACGTTTGTTAGGCGTTGGTTAAACCTAAACTGACCACGGGGGGCAATTCATCAATGTCAACAACAGCAACAAGGAAAGGTCCTGCAGATACCGAGAAAAGTTATTCTTTCGACTTGTCAAAAACAGATCAAATTTTTGATCACTTGATGGCCGATAAAATGATATCTTTGCCTAAAGGGCATAGGATTCCATAGGTAAGTGACTTGAAGGGAAAAGAGTATTGTAAGTATCATAACTCTTGGAACCATGCTACTAATGATTGTACTGTTCTACGAGGTGTATTGCAGAAAGCTATTGACGAAGGCACTTTAAAATTCCCGGAGAAAACTTCAGAGACTATGAAGGTTGATACTAATCCATTTCCAACAATCACATCTACAAATGTGATAAGCTTAGCCAAGCGAGAAAATTGGCAGGAGGCAGAAAAGATATCTAGTGAGTTCCTTTCATCAACTGCGACACCTGAAAAGATGGCAGAATTGCAGAAGCAATTAAGGGAGGCTTAATTAGCCTTGATTGATAATGGTTATTGCCTAAATTGCAAAGGAAAGCAAAAACCAAGGGAAGATGTGCCAATGGAGGTTCAACCAAAGAAAAAAGGAATTCTTGAAAGGCTTATTTTCCCATTGAAGCCTGGGGAGGAGCCTCGGCAAGGTGATTCCAGCAACAGCCATTTGAAAGCAGGAAGGCCAAACCAGCAAGGTGATATATCTAGCCGGTTTCATTCCCAAAATAGGTATCCCAATTTTAAGAGGCAGTCACCAGTTCAATCAGAGATTTGGGTACAGAAAGGAGCCAATTCATATAGAGTATGAATTGTGAAACCAAGGATAGACTCGACTGAAGATAGATGGACTCAAGTTAATCATCCAAAGTTCCCTAAAGCTCAACAATCTCAGAATGGGGGCCTTACTCGATCTCAGAAGCGTAGAGAAAAAAGGAGAAGAGCTGAGGGAAAAAGGAAAGCTGAAGTATTACAAGCAAAGAAAATCGACATTCCAGATAAAAATAAAGAAGATGAGGAACATCAGCCAACGTGGCCCAGACATAACAATGAATTCAGAATTCAGTTTGGCAGTTTTCCAGATGAGATATCATGTAACATGGCATTTGTATTACCAGCAATGTTCCAGGCTCTATCGGCATCAAATGCAAATACTGAGAAGAATGAGAAGGAAACTCAGCCGATTCAGAATTTATCAATTATTTCCTCAGAATTGGCAGAGAAGGTGGTTTTTGAAAAACCTTTGTTAGCAATGACTCAACAGCTCAGGCCTTTGTATGCTAAGGTGTGGGTAGAAGGTCAACCTATTAATCGAGTCTTGGTAGACAATGGCTCGATTTTGAATTTTATTCCAGCAAACACATTGAAGAAACTCGGCAAGAGTATGGAAGATGTTATTCCTACTGATGTAGTAATTTGTGGTTTCAACGGAGGTTCTACCAGCAGTAAAGGGATACTTCCTTTAGAAGTAGAAGTTGGAAGTATGATGTCTTTTGCAGCATTTTTTATTATTGAATCCACGGCTTCTTATAATTTTTTATTAGGCCGTGATTGGATTCATCCAAATATGTGCATCCCATCATCATTACACTAGATGCTGATTTTTTGGGATGGAGATAAAATAAAAATAGTAAATGCCGATGATAAGCCATTTGTGGCAAAAGTGTATTCGGCAGATGCTGTTTTATATAACGAAGAATGTGTTCCTATCTGGTCTGTGGGAACAGGAGCAGATGGAAGACCAACCTCGGCAACCATGAGAAGAAGTCTTGCCGATCGTGAAATTGGTGAGTTGCAGCAGGAGAATTCCAATCCGAAGGTAGAACTCCCTTGGCTTGCTATAATTGAAGAAGTTATTGATGGAAGCGAAACTTGAAAGGGAAGCTGCTCGGCAGCAGACCTTTAGGGGCCGCTTGCATTAGGCTTCAAGCGTACATAGCTAAAAAACGACTAGAAAAAGAAGTAATAATGGAGCCAGGAGCATCGATTAATTTTACCGAGATCGATCGGTTCAATATTGAGAAGTTGGATGCGATACAGTTAGAAGACTTAGAATTAGCACCAGCTAAGCTCGATGATCTTAAAGCAGAAACTCAGGATCCATTAAAGGAGGTGAATTTAGGTACTGACACAGAGCCTAGACCTACTTATATTAGTGCACTATTAGAACCAGAATTACAAGCTAAAGTTATCGGTATGTTAAAGCAATACAGTGACTATTTTGCTTGGAATTATGAGGAAATGCCAGGTTTGTCCAGAGATCTGGTGGAACATCGGCTGCCCATTAAAGATGGTTATAAGCCATATAAACAGCCACCTCGTCGAATGTCTCAAGAGGTGGTAGATAAAGTCAAAGTAAAAATCGAACGATTGTTAGATGCTGTCTTCATTCAAACCACAAGGTATCTTGAGTGGTTATCAAATGTAGTTTCTGTTATCAAGAAAAATGGAAAATTACGTATATGTGTTAATTTCCGAAACATAAATTTGGCAACTCCAAAAGATGAGTATCCAATGCCGATAGCTGATCAGCTGATTGATGCAGCTGCAAAGCACCAAATTATGTCTTTTATGGATGGACACTCAGGTTATAATCAGATTTACATAGCCGAGGAAGATATTCCAAAGACAGCTTTTAAGTGTCTTGGATCGATTGGAACTTTCGAATGGGTGGTAATGCCTTTTGGGTTGAAGAATGCTGGTGCCACGTATCAGCGAGCCATGAATTCTATTTTTCATGATATGCTCGGCAAGTTTATGGAGGTGTATATTAATGATGTGGTGGTAAAGTCAGTAACAAAGAAAGAGCACTTAGTCCACCTCAAAGCATCTTTTGAGAGGATGAGGGCTCATAAGCTAAAAATGAATCCAATAAAGTGTGCCTTTGGAGTATCGGCAGGAAACTTTTTGGGTTTCTTGGTTCATCAAAGTGGTATAGAGATCGATAGGAATAAAGCTAAGGCGATTATTGATGCTAGTGCGCCAAGAAGCAAGAAATAGTTGTAGAGGTTACTCGGGCAAGTGAATTATCTTAGGAGATTTATTGCTAATACAGCTGAGAAATTGCATGTGTTTTCCTCGCTGCTCAAGTTAAAGCCGATGGAAGAATTCAAATGGGATGATACACATCAAAGGGCATTTGACCAGATTAAGAAATACTTGTCGAGTCCTCCTGTCATGATGCCTCCAAGGAAGAAATGGCCAATGAAGTTATATTTATCGGCTGCTGAAGAATCCATTGGAGCTATGTTAGCACAAGAAAATGAAGCAGGAAGTGAACAAGTAATATATTATCTCAGTTGAGTTCTAACTCCAGTCGAGTATAGATATACACCAATTGATAAATTATGTTTAGCATTGTATTTTGCAGCAATGAAATTAAGAGTCTATATGATGCCCGTTTTGGTGAATATTGTTTGTCAAACCGATCTTATAAAGTATATGCTATCAAGGCCATTAATCACAGGCCAGATTGGCAAGTGGGCTTTGGCATTAATGGAATTCAACTTTGCATATGTTCCACAAAAGGCAATTAAGGGAAGAGCATTGGCAGATTTTCTTGCCGATCATCCCTCACCTGAAATTGAGTCACAAGTATTTGATGAGCTTGACTCGGCATCCATATTCATGACTCCATGGACTTTAATGTTCGACGGGTTTAGTACCAGTGAAGGCTCGGGAGCTGGTATAGTGATAATATCCCCAACAGGGAATCAAATTTTGTTTTCTTTCTTTTTGGATTTCAGGTGTTCAAATAATCAAGCCGAGTATGAAGCATTAATTATCGGCTTGGAAATTCTGTTGGAAATGACAGTCAAAGATGTCCACATTGTGGAAGATTCGAGTTTAGTGATTAATCAAATCTCAGAAGACTTTAGATGTTTGAATTGGAAATTAAGACCATTCCATTCATTGGCAACCCAATTAGTTAACCAATTTCATAATGTGACTTTGGAATACAGACCGAGAGCCATGAATAAAATGGCTAATGATTTGGCACAGACTGCTTCTGGAGTTAGGGTGCCGAGTGGTATGATGGAAAGAGTAATGAAGATTACACGCCGATCTCTTCTATCAGCTGAAACAAGAAATCAAATTATGGAAGAAGTCTTTGCCATTGATGTTGCCGAATTGGATGATGATGATTGGCGAATTCCTTACATCTTGTTCTTGCAACATCCAACTCCTGAAGCCGATCGAAGAATTAAAAGAAGTGCAGTCGATTATATGTTTATGTATGGTGATCTTTATAGAAGATCGGCTGATAATGGTTTGTTATTTCAATGTATTAGTAAGTTTGAAGGTTTGAAGATTATGGCTGAGGTACATGAGGGGATATGTGGAGCTCACCAAGCTGACATCAAAATGAGATGGTTGATACGCCGATATGGATATTATTGGCCTGGAATGAGGAACGATTGCATGACTTATGCAAAAAGATGTATAGATTGTCAAAAATATGGTCCTATGCAGTGGGTCCCAGCAATAGAAATGCAATTATTAGTTAAATAATAGTCTTTCAGAGGTTGGGCTATGGATCTAATCGGTAAGATTAATCCTCCTTCATCAAAGGGCCATCATTGGATTATTCTAGCTACCGATTACTTTACTAAATGGGTAGAAGCCGAGGAATATGTATTGGTAACTCATAATACC